AACCGGTAGTTCAAACGTGTGCTCTTCTTCCAAATGAGTTTGTAGAACTCGCCGTACACACATACCTAGAAGGGTATAAGGATACAGTTTCCTTTTTCTCTGTGAATGCTAGGCTGTAGCACAAGTCATATAGAGAATACTTGGAAGACAGCTATTCTGCTATCTGCGTCTCGATTCGGATTTCAGGTCTATCTTATAACTACGCGAAAGTGGCCCACGCTGCACCAGAATGAATATTTACATCTGAGCTTACTACAGCTCGAAATCTAATGAACATTTTATTCGGAAATGGAATTGAAAATGCGTAAAACGAGTTGCCAAATACAAAAACTCCGAATTCGATTAAACTTTTTTTCAAATCGAGTTACAGAATAGGGACTCAGGCAGCAAACCTTGAATAGCTATCCCCAAAAAGTATATCAAACTAAATTTTGTCAATTAATTGTTTGCAAAATGAAAAAACGATACAAATTCATTTTTATATTCATATTTCGTAAACAATGATATTTTTTTAATATTATGTAGTCGAAAAAATCGGATGGATGGAGTTATGTGTAGAAGTTCACGCAAGTGAGGAAAGTTCTCGGATCGCCATTCACTTGAGAGTGGCCAGAAACGATCCTTTTAAATATGGCTCAAGCAGCTCACGACTTCCGGTCCTTGACCAAGTATGCTCTGGGTAGCCTAAGAACATCCGTTTGAAGGCGAGCTAAAGTGAGAAGGCATAGAACATCTCCTACATAGGGTTGTGTGCTGGGTTTGGGACCCGACACGTAAAAAAACCCCCCAATGAAAGCGCAACGACAGCTTCGGATCAGAGACCCCACTTTTGATGACGACCGTGGCAAACGAAATAAGGACTACGAATTGATTCCTTAATTGGGAAGGTGCCGCTGTCCAGCTTGTTGATGTCCTCGCAAAACTAAAGGCTGACATCACCACCGTCCAAGAAATGCGATGGACGCGACAAGGACAGAGGCGAGTAGGTCCTTGTGGTATTTACTACAGTGGCCATATAAAGGAGCGCAAGTTTGGTGTGGGATTCGTGGTGGGAGAGAGACTCCGCCGCCGAGTACTATCATTCACCCCGGTTAATGAACGTCTCGCCACAACCCGCATCAAAGCGAGGTTCTTCAACATATCGCTGATTTGCGCCCACGCCACACGGARGGGCGATGTGACCAAGGATGCCTTGTATGTAGTTAGGAAAGCACTTATGAGAGCTTTGTTATCCCTGCAAAACTTATACGGCTGTGTAAGCTGACGTTGACCAGAACCAAAAGCTCCGTCAGAATCGGGAAGGATCACTCCGAGCCGTTCGATACCAAACGTGCCTTCAGACAAGGCAATTCCTTTTCGTACGACTTTGTCAACCTGCTTCGGGAGAAAATAGTTCGAGCTGCAGAACTAAATAGAGAAGTACCTTCTTTTGTAAGAATGTACAGCTGCTAGCGTATGCCGACGATATTGATATCATTGGCGTCAGCACTCGCGCCGTTAGTTCTGCTTTCCTCAGACTGGACAAGGAAGCAACACCAATGGGTCTGGCAGCGAACGTGGGCAAGACGAAATATCTCCTGTCATCAAACAGACCATCGTCGCACTCGCGACTAGGCACTCACGTCACTGTTGGCAGTCATAGCTTTGAAGTTGTAGATAATTTCGTCTATCTTGGAGCCATCGTAAACACCACCAACAATGTCAGTTTAGAAAGCCAACGCAGGATAATTCTTGCCAACGAGTGCTACTTCGGACTGAGTAGGCAATTGAGAAGCAAAGTCCTCTCTCGGCAAACAAAAACCAAACTCTATAGGTAACTTATAATTCCCGTCCTGCTACATGGTGCAGAGGCTTGGACGATGGCAACAACTGATGAGTCGACGTTGCGAGTTTTCGAGAGAAAAGTTCTGCGAAAGATATATGGTCCTTTGCGCGTTGGCCACGGCGAATATCGCATTCGATGGAACGATGAGCTGTACGGGATATACGACGACGTTGACATAGTTCAGCGAATTAAAAGACAGCGGCTACGCTGGCTAGGTCATGTTATCTGGATGGACGAAAAAACTTTAGCTCTGAAAGTATTCGAAGCAGTACCCGCCGGGGGAAGCAAAGGAAGAGGAAGACCTCCACTCCGTTGGAAGCACCAAGTGGAGAAGGACCTGGCTTCACTTGGAATATCTAATTGGCGCCACGTAGCGAAAATAAGAAACGGCTGGCGCGCGGATGTTAACTCGGCTATAATCGCGTAAGAGATGACTACGCCAATCAAGAAGAAGAAGAGTCGAAAAAGTCTTATTTTGTCAATAGATGTCGTTGCAGTCGTATATCTCCAGTTCTACCAATCACATTGTGTCATATCTTATAGTGTTGGAGGGGAGAGATTGTAAGCTTCATTTAATCAAAAAGAATTAAATAATTAAGAAATTCGCTATATTTTGAAATTTTTCTGATTCTGTTGATAGCGTGATATCGATTTTAAGTAGCCGCAGAGGTGCACTTAATTGCAGACATTAATCGCTTAGAGAGTCGAAATAGGAGTGAGCAACCGCCCAAAAACAGCTTTTGAGTTCAGCCGTGTCAAGCTTTGCCTGTCGTTAGCGCCTAACCAGATGACTTGTATAACGCGGGCTATCGAAATGGCGTCACTGCGGAGGTGCTCGTTAATTAGAGACATAAATCGTAATCGCCCCAAAAGTAGCAGTTTTAGAGTGCAAACGGGTCACACTTTGTTGACCTCTAGTGCCAAACCAATTGACCCATATGACGCATGATATCAAAGACGAGCAGCCGATAAATAGCAAGAACTAGAAAAATAAATCGGCTAGATATTCGAACCAGGGTCGTGACAATTGCCCAAAACCCGCCTTGTAGTATCTTTGCAGCACTCCGTTAGTTAAATTTTCTGTCTAACGAGTAGACCGGAAGGGAGGGTGCTTGTCCGCAGAGCCAGTATGTGCAGAGAAGGCCTTTCATATCTCGGGCTGTTCGTGGTCAGTTATTCTATTACCACCCGCTGGTAATATCAGGTATCAGAACCGGTACTTCGACATCTTAGCTCAGAGTGATGGTGGTGCAGGTTCCTCATGCTTCTGCAATAGGTGACGGACGTATAAACTAAGGCTTATTCCTCAAAATCCCCATTGGGGTAATTAAGGGCGATCCCTCTTAGTTCATAAAACCAAGGCGCGTACCCATTTAGGTTGCACCCTTTACTTTTACATAAGCCCCTTCAAGGCGGCTTATCAAGGTGATCATCGTTGATGGAGCAGAAATAATATGTGTTGCAAACATTTTTCGATATGAGCTGAATCACATGCACCTCTAATTACTCTCCTATTTATTTTAGAACCTTTTCCCTTTTTTACAATTCTTTTTCCTACTTTTCCCTAATGTATTACAATTTTTGGCGATGAAGGTCCATCAAAGGCCTATTACCTGGTCCCCTTTTCCCAAACCTATATTGCAATATCGTCATGTGATCTACCGTAAAATTACGAATAGTTGACTCTAAGAAATTTTTTTACGTTCGGCCCCACATAATTTGTCAATCGGTCAAAAAACGATTCGCATCGATTAGTCAAGAGAAATGTTAAAAAAAAAATACGAAAACGGTGCTTCGAAACACGTCTATGACATCATAACAGGTGGTAAATCGTAGAGGGGGGTGTTTTCAAATGAGCCGAATCCAACGAAAGTTATTCGCACACGAAGCACTTCTAAACAAATGATTTTTGCTGTTTCTTGGGAAGTGAGAGTTACTTAACCATTTGTGTCCCAGTAGTCTTTCAAAAAATACAGTGTTACCCTTGATGAGAAAGACTGACGTTTTACGCGAAATTTCTGCCAGCACTTCTAAAGTCGAACGTTCTATCGGTAAATTGTTGCCTATCTCTTGCACGTCAATAATTGCATTGACAGACAGGAGCGATAATCCGAATTAAATACATTAAAACGGATTAAATCAGGAGTTAGTGAAGATAACTCCGTTGCTAACTCCCATTTAATCCTCTAAATTTTAGAGAGTTATAGCCCTGACAGGCTAATTCTACAAATAAATAATTCAGCGCTAATTTGCATTAGCGGCCTTAGTACGCATTAACTTGCGCAATTGACCCATTTGATGCAAATTAGTAATGTACAAAAATGTCGTGCATTTAGCTGAATTTACCAAATTTTATTAGGTAACATTGGCTAAAAATTACAGATTTTTGCAATTGTGAACGGTGATTGATAGAAAGAAGAAGATAAAAACGTAAACAAAAGATTTAAGAAAAGCGTTAGAGGTAAGTCATTTTTGTATTGCTAATTGTATTATGTGCTTCTATATTTACAAAACCTAATTTTAATAATTTTAGGTGGATGGAAATAAACAACGATCAATGTGAACAAACAGTGACGAAAATGTTTTGTTTTATTATTGGCGTGAACGAGTCGAAGACTTGCGACGTGCTAAACGAAATTTGCACATCTATGGGATTAAAACATTTTGAGGCGGTCCATTAAATTATCGGACTCAGTGCTGCCAACTCAGTGGTTTTACCACTAAAACTAGTGGTTTTACTTTCCCGCTAGTGGGAAAAAACTTTTTTTGTGGCTGGCGGTTTTTTTTTAGTGGTAAATATCCTCTGACGGTAAATACAAAAAAWTAATATATATTCTTCACAATTGCTAAGCTTTTAAAGAGCTACGTATAAGACAAATAAATTGGAACTAAAGATACTTATCGTTCTCAAGAAAATGAGCTTCAAAATATTGTCGATAGTTCTTCAGAAGAAGAAAACATTTTTAATCTTTAATTACAAAAATAAAAAATAAAAAAATTTTAATCTCTGTTATTAGTTCAATACATAAAAATAATTTAATATTTTTGATGTATTTTTATCATTTTAAAAGTATAAACTTTTAAATTAGCTGGTGATTAATAATAATTATTTATTTAAAATACCTTAAATTTCAATTTTATGACTTTTCTTTTAAATATTTAAATTAGTTAGTTCAGCTTGGAGAGAGCGCTAGTGGTCTCTTAGTGGTTTTAAAGTCGACACTAGTGGTCCCTGGAAAAATATTCTGCCGACACTGATCGGTCTGACGGCAGCCAATACTGCTGAAATCTACAAATCATTTACTGTAGTAAGCTGAGTTTTACACATTTATTATTAAAATTATTATTTCTTCAAAGCATATCTAATTCAACATTACTTCTTGCATCTATACCTATAGGATCACCAGAACCAATGCCAACTGTACCAATGTCATCTGAACCGCCAGTAATGACATTGACGAACTCGCTCCCATTGGGTAGCTCAACATCAGCAGCGGATACATCTAAAATTTCCAAACATTTTGTATGTGTGGCTGAGCTCTTAAGATTGAATTATAGGCTAGTATTGCAATTACTTTCACTCTATTCTCTTTTAGCCTTTATGTCAACAGAGCGTCACCCGGGTAACTTTTTTGCCTTTAAAGTGCCATCCGTAAGTCCGATCAACTTGAAATTTCATGATTGCCTAGTCTGGAGGGTTCTACGTATTGTGGTTAAATCTGAGCCGGACTGGACCACCTGGAACTGAGATATGACCAAAAACGAACAACTAATCCTTACGTCAACAGAGAGCATACCCGGGTAACACATTGAATTTTCAAGCAACAATACTGAAAAAAGCGAAAAAATAATTTTTTTTTGAAATTCATTAATTTTTATTTAATTTATTAACAATAATATTATATAATTTGACAATAAATTGGAAAAAATTGAAAATTAAAATAATTGTATTACTATTTATGGGCAATTCAGACAGCGCGGCATATCCTTTTAGTGCTCTGAACAAATGGGCTTGCCGCAGAATGAGCATGCTTTTCGAGTCTGGCGTCTTCTGAGACATAAGTAGCAGGAACCCTTCAACTTTAGTCGACCAGTGTTGTCACGCTCCTCTGCATCTGGTGGTGCCGTTGCCAGTCGCAAAGGTGCATCATTTATAGCTTCTATTGCGTTGCGCGTTGAGAAAATTTTCGATATTTGCGGATTGGTGCACCTGACATCTACCTCCGCACGGGCCAGTTGCTCGCTGAGATTGTGCAGAAATTCCCTGCGCCGTGCTGTTGACACCTTCATGTGTGGATTTTTCTCCATGTAAATAATATATGCGACATCCAGAATATTATAAAAAAAAACGCCAAAGGCCATCTATTTGTACGTCGTTTGGTGGAATACTCAGCAAGGCATTTGTCCATATTGTCAACGCCACCTTTGTACTTGTTGTAATCCATTATCATAGCTGGTTTACGTCTAGGACCAACAATTTGCATATCATAGTGCATTGTAGATAGAAGCACAACAGCTTTGTTCTTTTTAGGAACATATGAGCACATGGCAACGCTCTCACTGAATGCAAATATGGTGGATTCTGGTTGGCGCCCTTTTGCAATGGACAATTGTTTTGKCTTGTTGACTGTGCCCAGTATGGACAATTTGTGATCGTTCATCAATTGTTTTGCTAAGTTGTGTGTTGTGAAAAAGTTGTCACAAACAATGTTGCGTCCACTTCCACGGAACATGTCCACGCATAAGTCTTTGACCACTATTTCACCCATATTTCCCTCACGTTCGCTGGACGCTGCTTTTCCTGTGTAGATTTGCCCTTTGAGTGGATACGACGTAATTGAGTCGCACAACCACCAGTGCCTCCGCGGAACGGGTACAGCTGCTCATCAATTGTCACGTTGGCTGATGCGGTGTAATATTTTCGTAAATTGCTATTCATCATCACAAATATGTCAGATATGGCAGCCGCTTTGTCATATTGTTTGCGATGCTCCCGCGTTATTCCATTATCAAATCGGATGAAACGACTTATTTCCCAAAATCGTCTGACGCTCATTGAAGCTCGAAACAGTGGATATGCAGTTGTCTTCCACAAATCTTTTCTGTGAACGTAGCCAGAGTGAGTAACGCCACCAAGCAGCAACAATCCCAAATATGCGTCGAATTCTGTTTCTGTTTCTGCTTTCCAAACACGTCGCTCTGATGTTGGGTTGCATTCATTTATCATATCAAACACTGTATTGGCTTTTCTGTTTGTTTCACGGATTATTACGTCACACATATCGTTTGTCATTATTAGCTTGAACGTTTCCATTATAGTTTTACCATCAGTTAGGCGACTTGGCCCGTTCACTCCAGATCTTAGCACGTTGTGCGCTCTTACTCTGGTGTTTTGTGGTTGTGTGCCACTCCAAATTGTCTGATCACTGCTCGTGTAACTAGCAGAATTTCCTAGTTCCACTGGCTCTTCATCTATATCATCGTCACTATCGTACTCTGGATGGTATTCAGGCGGCTGTACGTCTTCCACATCAGAGTCAGCTGAATTTATTATAGGCTCATTGTCGTTTTCATTTTCAAATGTCATCGGCTCTTCTTCGCTATCTGGACACCCATACTCCTCTCTTCTCTCCCAGATATTTTCATGAGAGTCATATTCAAATTCAGGCTCTAACCAATCTCCATCTGCCATTTTGTAATTATTTTTGCAAAACACAATCTTTACTTTTCACTTTGAAATTAAAAATGTAACTGCAAACATGTAAGAATGTGAAGCGAACCTCCTTTTCACCTTACGCTACACTAATCTTCATACAAAATATATGCTTTTACCCGGGTATGCTGTCTGTTGACGTGCGTATGTAAAATTCTCTGTTGACATAAAGGTTAACTCATTTAGTAATAAACGCATTTTTTCATTAAATTCATTTTGGTCTTCTAACAATAACAAAATTGCCATTAATATTTTCTTCTTATTAATTTTTATTTCACTTTTTCTAACAAGTACAGGGTGGCTGATGAAAGCCGCTACCAAAAAAAAAATTAAATACCTTTTTTTCTATTTAATGGATCTGGGCCCTATTGCACCATTCACTTAGCACTTTTCACTTTGCAAATTTTTGAAAAGAGTTTTTTTTTTTTGAAAAGTAAAGTTGATGAGTGTTGCACTTTAAACTTATCAATAAGCTTTTCAACTTGTCGAAACTGACGAGCACTTTGGATAAGTTGATTTGATAAGCGTTGCACCAACAATTTCTTTTGCTTTGCAAATAGAAAAAACTTTTCTAATAATGTGCTAAGCGCTCTCAATGAGAAGTGGAGCAAAGCAATGTACGTTTCGATAATATTGCTCAGTTTCTCTTTATTATTTAGAGTGCTATGTCGCGTGCACAAAACAAAGAAAATAAATTGGCCGTTTTACAAGTTATAAAGGGGAAAAAAGTAAGTTTATTTTGATTATCATATTTAGAATGTATACATGAATATGCAATAAATATATTTATCTGCATTTAAGGATTCTTTATTTGGATCTTTTCAAAATAATGCAACTTGCAAAATGCAAAAGCAAGATGGTTGGACTGAAGTTCTAAAGACGGCACAATCCCTCGGACTTGCTGCTGCTAATCGCGAATGCAAGAGATAATTTATTTGGCCTTTGGAAGAGCCGAACTTTGGTAATTTTGTTAAAATTTTTTATTTTCAAAGAATTTTCGGTCGATTCTAGGAATAGCAATTAAATAAAAGCAAGTGAGCTTGCAAGTGAGTGAAATTTATTTAAATGCACAAACGGTCTAATTCCAGCTAAGGCAACAAAATTGCAAGAGTATTTTTGTAGTTTTGTTGTTTACACCGTTATTCGCTGCGACAATTAAATTATTTTTATTCGTTGGATTTTTTGCTGCAGCTAACAGTTATTTTCAACAAGATTCAATTCTTACTTCGTGTACATGCACAGCAGGATCTTGTTTTTTTTTTAATAATTAGCAAGTTATAATTTAATAAATAATAAAAATTCGCTTCATTTTAGGCGTAAAAGGACAATGCCAAGAGGACAGGCACTGCGGGTGGTAAAAACGTATTGCTGGATGAAGTCGACAACTACATACTTGACATTTTGGGCAATGAGTCGACAGTTGTTCTGGATCTCGGCCAGTCCGAAAGTGATGGAGTGTCCTCCAATTTGGACAATACATTGGAACAAATCCAACCAGAAAGGACGAGACCAACCAACAGGAAAAGAACATATAATTTACAAGATAGACATGAGGAGTTGAAGCTTGAACTCTTAGAAACCGAAATTTACAAAGTAAGCTAAAAATGTTGTCATTAGAACAAAAATTAGGTTTAAAACGATCAAAATTCACAGCGGATTTGGAGAAGGAGTCAATGAATGAAAATGATAAAACTCTCTCATTAAGTCCGCTGCTGTCGTATTAATAATAATTTTTAGTATATACATATGTATATTATTGAGTTATTTGATTTAATTTTTTTCTTTTTATTT